CTAGGGACCAAAACAGCTTAATCACATTGGATAATATTTTACTTTTTATTAATACATACTTACTGACTAGTGTGTAAGACACTATGCCAGCATATATAGTATGTGCTAGAATATACACATTTGTAAATTCAAACTTAAATAAGTAACTGAATGTTATCTTGCATCTTTACACTGTGACATTGAGAAACATAATACATGACTCAATATACTAGGAGTTAGGGATAATACATTTGTGATTTGTGTCTTTTAATGTAGAACCCACTAAACTATAGAGGGAAGACACCTAGGTTTGTAGTCTACTACTTATCAGTGGTATGAATGGGTAAGTCTCTTAACCTCTCTGAACCTGAGTTTATCATTCATAATAGGGATGAAGCTACTCTCAGGACTTATAGGGTTACTACAGGCAACAAACTGATTTAATCACTGATACACAAGTCTTGAGTAAATGTACTTTTATTAAATTATAAAGCACTATAAACATTTAAGTATTATTAAAATTATTTCATTAAGCAAAAGCCATGCTCCTATATTTAATTATCAGGACAAAAATAACACTAAATAGGAAATGGTGTGAGTGGCACATGGGAGTAGGATGAGGTGTGCCTTTACTTGAAACTGCAGGCTGAAAGGTTTTCCTCTTATGTCCCTTGGGAAGAGAGGATTGATGGGCATGATGACACTATTGAGGTCATGAGGGATATATTTTGGCAGCTACTTGATTTGCAGTGTGACTGCAGTGGGGGCTGAACATTCACTAAGGTTACTGCTATCTAGAAGGGGAAACCTGGGGATTTTCTACTCCTCTGTCCCAGTTAGTACCCTGAACTGAAGATAAGAATTAAATCCTTGTATGTGAGAGAAGGGGAATGCAAAGAAACAAACAAAAATCTATAAAAATTTTTCTAGTTGGCAGTGTGGATAAATTTTGAAGCAAAAATATTCTTAATTTTAATAATTTTTTCTTTGATGTGAACTACTCATAATATACAATAACTGATACCAAATTCCACACAAAATCATTGCAGGGAAAAAAGCTACTGTTATATAATTTTGCTCAATATTTCAATAAGTACAGTTATATAACTCTCATATATTATGAAAGAAAATAAACAACAATAAATGGCTTAAAATTTACATTAATATTTACCTTTTGTAGAAGAGTTATATTTTTCTTGTTCTTCAATGAATTAAATGCACATAATGATGGAAACAAAAGAAAGAAATCAGCAAATTTATAGTTAGACATGAAAATATGGATCAACACAGTGGTATGAATGATAAAAATGCATAACATGTAATGTGACATGGTAACTTACAATGATAAACATGAAGAAGTCTCAAATATGGTACTAAAATTAATCAAAGAAAGAATGAGTACAATTTAGAGATTTAAAATAAAATGGGAAACATTGAGAAATTAATACATTTGGCATTTGAAACGTATTTTGTGGCATTTCTCTTGCTTTTTAAGAATTAAAAAATATTTCAGCACCAATTTTATGAAAACATGTTAATTTTAATCCATTGTGACTTTTTATAAAACAATTTAAAAAGAGTATTTAATATTCATAATAAGCATTTTTAATTAAAAAATAATAAATAGCATTTCAGATTTGAAATTTAATATAATTTATGAAAAATAAATTCCATTTTTTACTAGAAGTAGATATTTTCTTTTCATCTTAAAAAATATTCTGCAACATTTTCTAAATGGAAAAATATAGTCTAATTTAAGGAATCCTTTCTTCCTTCTACATCAATGATATTAAAATACGTCATGGTGAAATTGTTCTTTGGATACTATATTTCTTAGATATTTCATAAGCTGTATATCAACCTTCTTGTTGGTATGCCATTTACTAAGAAATAATGGCCTATCTAGATATTTCTGAAGAGGAATATTATTCAAGTTATAGGTAGCAGATATAACAGAATACATAAAAGACAAGTAGCACAGCATATGTTAGTTTATGAATAATCTTTAAATACATCTTCTTTAAAAGGCATTCAGTTGAGAATAAAAAGATATCATTTGATTTCAGAAAACTGTACAACATTTTTATGCGAACAATATGGTACTTTCAAGCTTCACGCTATGGAAAGGCTATATTGGAATACAACACTCAAATATAACCAGATAAATTTCCTCTAAGTCTTTGTTCTCAATTATCACAATGCCATTTGAGCTACCTAAATTTCAAGGGTATTTTTTTTCAGCTATTTTATTTCAAAATCTGTGTTGTAATCACCTATCTCCTTTCCCCCCAGAAAACCTTTAACATAATCAAATTCCATGTAGCATTCCTAATTTAAAAAAACAAACAAACTGTGAAATACTTTTTCAAAAACTAAGTAAACATGCCTTTTCAAAGGATGGTACCCTTTAAAATAATACATATTGCTTTTATAGTACAAAGAAGAGTAGCAACACTGAATTACAGAAAAACCAAAAAAACAAACAAAAAACCCAAACAATCTAATCATGTCAGCATGCATCCAAAAATAATACTGTGGACACCTATATCCAGAGACTGTGTTTGGATATAATTATTTTATAAGTTTAGCAAAATATTGTATCACTATCCAGAAATCTATACCATGTGAAATATTTGCTCTTACTGATCAACTACTTATCAACTCAATTATTTTTTAAAAAGGAGAATCACCCTCTGTTAAAAATAAAACAAAGAAAAAAAACTGGAAGGAAGTCAAGTGCAGTAGACCATTAATCTTCATCAAAGGTAGAAATAAAGTTTAACAAATAATATCAAAAGAAAAATAAGGTAATTGTACAGATTTAAGAACAAAAATGCAATCAATAAATAGAGTGTGCTAAATTCTGTCTAGCCCATGTATTATATTAGAAGTTTACTTTTAAAAATATTATTTTAGGATACACAAAGATGCCATGTGAACTGTTCACTTTGAAATAGATCTATAGTAAGATAACTGGGGATAGTATCATTTACCAAAAGTCCCAAAGCACATATTAACATCATAAAGTAACCAAATCTATGTTAATGACAGAAAAACACTGAGATATAATAATATGTTGTCATAATCTTAGAAGGTTTTATCTATATAACCATAAATTTCAGGAACTTCAAACAAGTATTTACTAGCATATTTGTGACATTAGAAGCAAAATAACTCCATCAATTTCATCCTCAGCCATTCCTTTCTTCCCACCTCAATTCAATCCTTACAAATTGATGATTTATCTGAAAGACAACTGTGAATATGAATATAATAAACAGTAATGTTGTATTAACAATAGAACATGAGCTTTTAAAAAACCAAAATCCAGCATACAAGTCAACTGATTTTATAGATGCAATTTGTATTATCTCTACAGAAATAATATAATATTACTATGAGAGTTATATTCAGTAACCTTATATGATTTGAACCTGAAGTATTTCAGCAACTAAAGGAAATGCAAAGAATTTTAGGAATACATGAGTCATTTTAGATTTCAGTCTTTAGCAAAATATGGCCAGTAACACTGAATTGTAGCCAAACACCAGAATTTGTAGTTTATTTAGTTGTGCAACAGGAAGTCATGAATGGATATTTTAAATAAACACCAAATTTCATTTTCTAAAAGTAAATTTTAAAACAATTTCATCTAGGCTATTGCTAATTTCAGTCTTAATATCAGTTATGAATTATCTTCTCAAAATGTTCCCCCCCAAAATGAAAGTTTATTAAACACATAAATTGAGAACTCCAGTGAATTTGTATTTTGGAAAAGAAAGTCAGGTTTTCACATTGCCTCATATTTTCCTGGTGAACTAAAAGAATACCCTTTAAGAAGCCCGAATAGTAAAGCATGTATCAATAGTAAAGGATGTACGATTTTTTAAAAATAATATGAATCCAGAGTTTACTATAGCAGCATTCCTGTATCAGAAAGCTGATAACTTCTTACAATCTATACTAATTTTTCTATAACCAAGTATCTTGCTTAAAAACTCTGCCATATCAGTCTTTGAAGCAATGTATTTATCTCCTTAGGTCTTGAACATTTCTATGATACATTCAGTAGAGCACTTGAATTAAGCTGTAAAGCGTGTACCCATCACCCTCAACATGAAATGAAATACAAGTAACATCAGTAACAACCAACACTGCTGAAAAATTACTCAAAATGTCAACCTTTCAGTTGTTTCATAAAAAAAAAAGATTTTTAATACATGTCTCAAATGTAATCCATTTATATCACAACCCCAAATTTAAAATTATTTCAGTAAACTACTTTACAAATCCCTGGTAAAATTAATATAAAAATATATACTGATAACAAATTATTTCACCTACTGAAAAACTAAATAGCACTTTGGGTCACATGAAGGAAACAGTGACTATTTTAACCCAGTATTTAAATCGTCTAGCCTAGGTAGATTAGAGAATTTAATTTCTATTATCAAAACTCTCTCACCCCCACCCTAGGAAAATAAAAAACAGTGTGTCTATCCTTAAAATAAAGAAATTTTAAGTAACATGGACTGTTAACACTAAAATGTGTACCCTAAGTCATTTTTTATCAAATTTATAAAAAAACACAAGACATCGCAAATAATTTAAAATAAAAAAACATTAGTAAACTCTTCTCTATGTGATCAAGTATTTAAGAAAGAAAATACTTGAAAAACAAGGTTAAATAACAAGGTCTTCTTTGAACACAATATACCATGTTGCACTGAGGATTACAATTTTTTATTTTCTTTTTTTGTCTTGAAAAAAGGTAACTAGGACTCAATCTGTTCTTTCAATAGACCATCTAAAATTCAATAATTCACTCACTCAGCAAAATCACAGTATATGCCATGAACCATTATAACTCAGGGCTGGGACTAAAATTCTAAGAAATTTAAATTTGTAAGATCCAGCAAACTACATGTAATCAAAATACTATTTGTTAACTAAAAGGAGTATCAAGACAGATGGTTCCCAAATCCAAGATTTTTGGACAATGATCACTCTTTAGCGGATACCTTGTTCTATACTGCCGCTTCTCACTGGCACTTGTGGGAGCTGCCTTCCCCTTCGACTGCCAAAGGTCGGGTCTGCGGGAGGGGAGAGGGGTGGACTTCCTTGTCGGTGCGTCCTGCGGGCAGAAAACAAGTGGGGGATGAAACGATGAAATCCCAAGAGGGCCTGACACAAATCTTTTCCTTCTTCCTGCTATTATTAATACAGGTATAAACCCCCTAACTAGGTCTTTGGAAGAAAAATATCAAAACTTTTTATGATATGTGTAAAAAATTATAAAGAAAGAGAGCAGTGTCTGTCCACTCAGCTATGCATAGTTAATCCCTGAACTGCACAGAACTGGACTTACTTCTTTTTATGAACTTGCCAGGAAGTTGTGGCTTTCTATTAGGTTATCAATTTTTGGTAGTGCTGAACCAAAAATATCTAATTCCAGCCTCTGAATCTTCACAGTATGCATAAATTAGTTAAGACTGTTACTAAATTGCTATTATTAAATCCATATTTATATCTAGAATCATTTATAAGTGATAAGAATAGTTACAGCTGAAGACTTTTCATTAATTACCATTTACTAGTATTTTATTTTTAAATAGGAAAAAACCTTGAAAGGTATTTAAAAAATAATCTTGGGCACATGCTAGGAAACATACTGGTGCAAGAACCGAAAGTACGAATAAGAATTCAGATGTGTGTAAATGCATTGCTGCTGCCCAGGAGTGAGTTGATCTCCATCTGCTGGCACTGAACATATTTTTTTAAACTAAAGAACTTAAAAACTAAGATTTTAATGAACACATACCAAAGTTTGTTTTAAATTCCTTATACTTTTTAAAGCAAATATACATTTAATTTCACATGATTTCATATAATTAATATATATATATATGAATATGCCACAGACAGATGGAAGGACGTAACACAGCCAAAGTTAATTTTCAATGATAGCTCATTGGCAGGAACTATAGAATATCACCAGCACAGTGGAGATAGATGTAAGTAATAGAGGATGTGAGAGAGGTTTGTGTCACAAAGAAAGGATTAAAAATCATGGTGTCATAATGAGTGAAAGCATCGAGTGCTCAGGAAGGTACAACAGCACAGCGACACCCGGAGGCAGGACATGAAAGCTGGGCTGGACACTGAATAGCGACCTGGTCAGAAGCGGAGAAGGTGGCGCCGACCCTCCGGGGCCAAGGTGGTGGACAGAACACAGTGTTCTGACACTAGAGTGCTCACTCGACCTTGAGCGAGCGGGATGTTTTCCCCTAAGGACTGGCTGATCAGTCGCTCTTGGGGCTGCGTATCCCCTTCTAGAAAGACATGGTGGGAGAACCCTAAAACATTAGGGTCAAAAAAGATCTTCAGTCAGCAGCAGGTTCACATTAACTTTAATACCAACATATCTGTCCAAGGAAGACCTGGTTAATCTTACAAGACAGTGATTTTAAAAACCAGGAGAAAACCCACTACATAGTACTGAAATGCAATTCAGTTCAAACTGACAGTTTATTGGAAATGTGCATGTCATATAGTTTTTGACGGCTAATCCAGATTCCTTCAATGTAATAAACCTTATAATTTCCATAAAGCCAGAGCACTCTGTTTCTCTATTACTATTATTACTTTTATTATTATTTTACTGAGCTGTATGTCTAGTGTCTACAACACAGCTGCACAGATAGCAAGAGCTCACAAAGATATCCTAATTAAATGAGTATGTTAGATTAATGAACGCAGATTGTTCAAGCACTTGCCTTCAAGAAGAAATAATGCACTGTAGAATTGTGTATATTTTCATGATGTTCATGCATAATTTTACTCTGCAACAAGAAGTCTATATCAAATAGACAGGAAAATGAAGATCTCTTCTGAGGTTAATTTAAACAGATCAACACACTAAAATGATATAATAAGATGGAGAGCACTTTATCACTAAACTGACTAAATGCAAAAGGCTGACATACAGATAAAAACAAGTTCTTTAGTATATAATATATATAAAAGATAGTTTTCCATATTCTGATAGTTGTCTCAATATGTTATTCAAAATTATTATAAAGTGCCCTGGCTGGGGTAGCTCAGTGGATTGAGTGCGGGCTGTGAACCAGGCATCGCAGGTTCAATTCCCAGTCAGGGCACATGCCTAGGTTGCAGGCCATGGCCCCCAGCAACCGCACATTGATGTTTCTCTCTCTGTCTCTCTGTCTCTCTCTCTTTCTCTCTTCCTTCCTTCTCTAAAAATAAATAAATGAAATCTTTGAAAAGAAAACACAAAATTATTATAAAGCAAATTTATAAACTAAGGATTAGGAATTAAATGCTGATGTGTACATTTGCAGCAGCCCCTGTACCCATAGTTTTGCCTTCCACGGTTTCAGTTACCCAGTCCACTGTGACAAGAGAAAGAGAGACACCACATTCACATTATTTTTATTGCAGTATATTCTTATTATTATTCTATTTTATTAGTTATTGTTGTTAATGTCTTACTATGCCTAATTTATAAATTAAACTTTATCACAGGTATGTATAGGTAAAAACTAAGGGTCTTGGATGGTATCCGCAGTGGATAAGGGAGGACTAATATAAGGGGGGGAGTAGGTTTACAGTTGTTTATATACAAAATAATACAATAATCAATAAATAATAATACAAGAATAAACTGTTTCTTATATGAACTGTAAACCTACTTCTTGCTCCACCCTGTATATATGCTTCTTAAAAACACATGTGTTTTTGTATTTTTCATAATTTTCAGTATATATTATAAATAAAATGCACATTTAAGATATCTGACATGTTTCATTTTCCACAGTGACAGAAGTAATGGAACAGCATCTCATTCTTTTTGAAACAATGCTGCAAAATTCGATTAAGTAATTTAAAGTATGTGAGGGAAAAGAATACATATTGATCACAGGAAGCATGTTAATTACTGAGTGCTTTATTCAACTTGTATTCAGATTGACAATTTTTCTTTTATGAAAAATGATTTTAACAGCTCTAATGATTTTGATTCAGGACATCTTCTTTATTTCAGAACAATAAAATGGAAAAATGTAAAGTTTTAGAAAATAAAGAGACACAGCTTAGGTTTTTAATGTGCATTGTATCTTCTAGAGATCTGGATTAATGCTTTATCCGACTCTAGTGTAGATCTCAAAACCTGGTCTGCACCTTGATTTCCAAATTAAAAGAAAACGTACTGTTAGTATTCTACATATGAAACTTAATTCATCTGAACTGACTTCTGACTTAACTCTACAGAATTATATAATTTATAGGGGAAGGACTGCATGATCAAATCCTTTCCGATGACAAAGAGTGAGTTTTTTTATCTATCATGCTTTAAAAGCCATTATCATGAGAATAAATCTCAAGTACTCTTTGTTTGGAATATACTCTCTAAATGTAGTTTGAAAATTGAATACTACAGTTCTCACCCTAGAAGTGAGAAATTTCATGGATCCTGCAATTTCCCTAAAATCTTGCTTCATTTCTTAATGCAAGTCATAAGTGTCAAAAGTACTTCTTAAATGTGACTTGAAATGTAAATAACTTAGGCAGACTTGATGTAGTACCAAACTAAACGGCAAAGTTATAAAAAGCAATTTCAGGTCAAAGAAATGGCTTTCTAGGTGTTACACAGAGCAAGACTGGGTGACTTAGTGTTCTCATCTCCCAAGCACCACGGGCCCGTGGTGTATGAAAACAGCTTGTACTGTTTCAGGTTAATCATGTAACGCCGGATCTATTTTTCTCTTTGACATGAACTAAAATTCCCTCAGTAACATAACAGTCCCTGCCACTAGCCAAACTGTAACAAGTATGACAGCACAGACCAAAGGGCAGGCACAGAAAACCACTTTGCCTGAGGAAGAGGGCGGAGTATGGCAGGAAGGCAGAGAAACTGAGGACAGTGAAAATGCAGAACTTGAAGAGAGAAGAGCAAGGTTTTAGAGATGAGATAATGGTCCCGAGTTTGTTTCAGACAAGAAGAAGGAGATATTGATCAAGAAGTTCTGAGGTACAGGAGTGAAATGTTGAGAATCCAGGCTGTGGAGCCTTGATCTTTGCAATGAAATTGTGTGGGCTAAGAATGTAAGAATGAAAGAGATTAAGAACCACTATGTTAGAGAATGGAACAGAAGTGAATGAAGATTAGTAAAATGATAATGACAACTCTTTACTGAGCATCAAAATGAAGCCATCTCTACATGCCAGACACTGAGGATATGTATGTATATATGCATGTGTTTGTATGCATGTATGTGTTATATATGTATATATGAACATATACATCCACATGTATGTTCTTTGTTTGTATTCTCACAATAGTTCTGAGAAGTGTTATTATCCCCATTTTATAGATGGAAAAACTGAGGATCATAGAGAGACTTGTAAAAAGACAAAGAGCCAACATGTGGTAAAGGCAAGATCTATACAGGTCTATGGAGCTTCAAAATTTGCTCCCTTTTCTCCCTATTGAGGCAGAATATATTTCTATATCATGAGATATAAAATGGTAGTTTCACCCCCCAGATATATTGTTAATCTTGTAAGACAAAATATAAATATATGTCCAGGTATCAACATTTTTAGCAAGATTTCATAATATTGTGTTCTGACTTTTTTATTCTCATTTTTAAATTTTTTATTTATTATTTTTTATTGTTGTTCAAGTACAATTGTCTCCATCCCCCCCCACTCTCCCTCACCTCACCCACCCCCATCTCCCACCTCAATCCTACTCCCGTTCTGACATTTTGAAGGAACAAAACATATGGGAAATGGCATTTAACGAATACTTAATCTGTTATATCCGCCTATATAGAACTCATATTTTTTTACAAAATGAGTCTTCTAGAGAACAATTCTAATTAAATCAAAATACGTCGGACTCTAGTCCACCATCTGCAAATCCATATCTACTCACTGAGTTCAACCAATGCCTACTCTCTTCACCTAAGACTAGTGTTTAGGACTTGAACTTAAGTAAAACACATCACTGAAACCTTAGGTTGTTAGCCAGACATGTTAAGTTGCAATAAATTGCTTCTATTGCAACTTAACAATATAGCTGTGTGTTTTTTAACGACCTTTAAAAAGATGACCATGCACGTGCTACTTAAGGTTAGATCTTCAAAATGGTTCCTCCTGTAATGGCTGTTACAGGCCTACACATGCTCTTTCCAGGAACACTAGAGACACATAAAATGCATACTCAAGCAATTCTAAATGCCCATCCTGACAAAACATTCCTCAGTTAGGATTAAGAATGCAGGCTCCACAAGAAGAAAAAGTCACTAGCACAGGATGCAGAAATGGTGCTAGTGGTTCACTGGGCCAAATTCACATGGAGGTGAAAAGTCAGACTTTTAGTCCGGAGTTTCCCCAAAGAATCTGAGGCACTGCTTTAAACAGCGAGACACGAAAGTCAGAAGTCAGTTCTGTCTGCATTCTATCTACAGATGACCATGATATCTTTCCAGATATTTTCTTACAAGGCTGTTGCTCATAAGGCCAAATTTGTTTAGGCCAACAAAGGACCTTTGAAATTATAAATATTATACAAATTTATAAATATTATAAACATTATAGCAAATTTTGACAGAAGCCAAAGAATAACTGTGTAGTATGACTCCTTTAGGGAACTTGTTAGCTCCCAAAGGCTAAAAATAGCACCTGCAGCATTCATACTGTGGCCTCGATTCACCTGCAGTTAGATGTTAACTCAAGGTATCTTCTAATGAAAGGAGAACTAACACAAACTTAGAAAATCCAGACCAATTCTTCTTTTGTAACTAGCTGTTCAACAATTCACTTAGAAACTAGGTCTGTAATTTATACTGTAATAAAAATCAATAAAGAGCTCAAATTATATCAAACAAATATATATACCTAAAATGTCTGAGTTTTCTATACTAAAACCTACAGCCAAAGTAAGTAAAGGCAAAACTAATAGGAATAGGGTTCTTAAGCAGCAAACATTTGAGAGTGGGGGGGTCAGTTAAATTCTTGCTATTCTTACTGAAGGGAGGATTTATGTTTATCTATAAAAATTTCCAGGGTTGCAGAGAAAGATGTCTAAATGTCACTCCTCTGTAGTTAAGCCCCTTCAGTTGATTCAGTTGAATTATCTAACATTTTGTAAAACAGTACTTTATTGTCAAAAAATTTGTTCACTGATAACACCATAAATACAAAATTAAATAAGCATGAATGGAATACAAAGAACATTGTGGGAAAAATTTCAATCATGTCAAAATAATTGAAATCATATGTGCATGAGATAGCAAGGTTATATGATGGTTGAAGATTAAAAACTTAAAAACTTCAGTTGTTTACAGGGCTAGTAAAGAGCTTACAGTGAGCTGACAATAAGGAATACATAAAAAGAAACATAATCAGTATTGTTCTATCGATCTCTCTATCTAATCTGTCTGGTCTGTCTAAAATGCTAGAACTCTGTGCTTTATTTCCTTCCTCAAAGTCCAGCTCCTCTGTAAAACTGAAATTAAAATTCAACACTTTTTTGAGTTTCCCAGTTCCTTTTTCCATTCTAAGTTAAGTTTCCTAAATAGTTAATACCCCAAAAGACCATTAGCCAGGAATAAATTCCATCTCCCCTTCTCATACCCCTTGATGTGACTAACACCTACTGATTTTTCAGACCCCATCTCAGAGGTAACATCCTCCGGGAAGCCTTCCTTTTTTGCTCCTATTTTGTTCTGTGAACTTAGCACACAGTTTGGCACGTGTTTGTTTGTTAACTGAATGATTCACTGCCTTGTACAGATTCTACCTCCACCCAAACCACTGCAACAGCTTTACTGGTATACTACATCTACCCCTGGAACTTTCAGACTGCCTTCCAAAGTGCTGTCAAAGTGACTTAAAATTTTGAAACTCAAAACCAATCATGTACCTCCATGTTTAAGGCCTATCCATTAATCTTCCATGGAATAAATCAGAAAGTGAAAATCTGTAGCACGTCCACAAGGGCATTTATAATACAACCTCTAGCATAAACTCTAAGGACTTACTCAGTTTTATTTTCAGCCCTCTCTCCTATCTCCTGTATCCTATTCTCCCTCCCCAAATGGGTATGGTTTCCCCATACCCAAGAAAATATTTCAGGCCTCACTGTATCCTCATTTTGTTCCCTTCTCATGAAAATCTCTACCCTTCACATCTACTTGTATATCTCTGGATTTAGCTCAAGTGACACCTGTTTATGAAATATTTCCTAACTCATAAGCATGCCACTCTTCTCCCTGCTTTCGCTGTATCTCATGCATGTCTTTACAACTTCTATGGCACATGAATGTATTCATTCATTTATATCTATGTCACCCTGCATGCTTTCAGTAATTGCTGGACTAATAAATATATGTTAATTGGATTTCTGGTATTTCTCACAACTATGTAAAAATGTAAAAAAATACCTTGTACCCAAAATAGTAGAAATAATATGGAGTTAGATGAATTACAAATAAAAGATCACTAATCCTTATAATTTCTGTATTAACTCAGCAAATATCTTTGTTTATAATAGTCAAGTAGAATTTCAGATTATCTGTATGTAGAAATTAAATTTTTTAAAAGATGGCATGAATTAAATAAATAATAGACACTTAAATAAGAACTACTTGCATTTTTAGGTACTATATTCATTGTTAACAAGTAAATAATCTCAGGAACAAAATATGAATGTCCCAACATGTATATAGAAACAAGTATGGTTTTAATTCTCTTTAATAATCAGAATAATCACTAAGATAAGTGCATGAGATTTTTCTTAAGCCCCAAGTCTTAAGGGCTGTCTTCAAATCACCCTTCTCCTGTTTTTTGAATGACACTACCCCATATAGGAGGTCTGTTTACATGAATGTCTTTCAACATCACAGTTTGTATATAAGAACTGGTCGTGTGAAGTGCCCTGACTGTGGTAATAGAACAGAAGATGGCCACACGCACAACGCCAAGCCTACCTTTCTGCATCAGAGGCAATGCCTTTCCTAGTCTGTTTTTGGATGCTAGATCTTTCAGACTTTCTGGAGTGCCTGTGGAATGAGATGTTAAAGAAATACAAAATATATGATGAATAAAGCTACAGTATTATCATATAATGATAAAAGCAACAGACATGAAAATGACAACCATCTCACCTAAATGGTTTAGTCAGTCAGTATATTTTTAAATAAAATAGAAAATGAAAATCAGAACTGGTGCTGTTTTTTTGGAAGACACAAACTGACCAACAGGAGACAAGGCGCTGACATGCCATCAGGCTAAACATAATGCAGTGATACTTAACAGGGACCCCTGCTGAGTGACCTTGCCTCTCCTAATGAGTAAACAAATTCAACAGTGAAATGTGGCAATGACAAGTGTCACAGCAGAAATGGTTTCGGTGCTAAAAGATCACAAAAGGATGAAGTGACTGCACTTTTACAAGTTGAAACTTGGTGCTACAAGGATTTTTCCTTTGTTATTTTCCTCTCACAAAATTATGAATAGAAAAAATGCTATAGTGAAATGTTTCACATAAGAATACTTTAAATTAACCATTAAAATCATCATAAAGATACATTTGTAATCATATAGCATTTTAAAAGTCAATCATGTCCCAAATCAAAGAACTGATAATGTTCCCAATTTACTCTGTCCCAAAGTACGTATGCACACTGAGCATTTGGGACTTGAAATGCATTTTCCCATAGAAACAATGTTTATATAGAAAGCTTACCCCCAAGGCAGCTTACATGTGCCTATTTACACTAAAATGTGTCTGGGCTATGATATATTTAAAATAACTATAAAATACCGTGGTCAAGAAACTCACATATTTTAAAAAAAGAGAAACCATAAAAGAAATGCATACTTTTATCTCATTATTTGTCTATAATTTATGCTTACTTTTCGTTCCTAATATCCTTTCCTTCTAACAATGGTGAGGAGACAACTGTTTGTCTTTTTTAAAGCTATTATTGACATATAATATTATATTGGTTTAGGTATACAACATAATGATTTGATGTTTGCAAAATGATCACCATAGTAAGTCTAATCAACATCCACCACCACACATAATTACAATTCCTTTTCTGTGAAGAAGACTTTTCAGATCTACTCTCTTGTCTTTACTCTGTTTATTAATACGAGATATCCTGAGTGTCCAATATACCTCATGCCAAGCCCTGTCAGGTACCAGGGACACATATCAAAGTATAAAGTCTGCCTTCAGAAGGTGTAGAGACTTCTGGGCCTGCTCATCTCTCTCCTTCTTTTCTTCTTGCCGAAATCTAGGTTAATAGTACTTTGCCCCTCAAAGCCAGCATCTGGGTTTTTCAGCCTTTCATTACTCTGACAAAATAGAGGAGGAAGACATCTCTCACTTAACCACTTTCTTTGACTAGCTGGAAAAGAGGGTATACTGCAGGACAACTGAATGCCAGGCACTGAGAGAGGCACTCACTCATTTAACCCTTATGACAATTCTTTAGGTGTCATCTTCATTTTACAGATGAGGACACAAGCTTAGGGCAGGCCCCACAGTCAGTAACAAGCTGAGCTGGCACGAGGAGGGAAGCCTGTGTGGCTCCTCAACTATTGCCGTCACGTGCTGTCCAGCCAAGAGGGTGGAGGGGACAATTCTGATGCGTGCCCTGTGATGCACACTTATTCAGGAAAGAAGAAACCATGAAATTTGGTCCATGCCGGGAAAAGCACTAAGAAAAGAACTCTCTCTCTGATGTAAGGGATGGTTCTCACTCACTTTGTTGGGCATTTGGTTAGGAGAGGGAACTGTGGGGTATGGAGGAATAGAGAAGTACATGGTACATGCCTAAAATCAGTGGGAGATGGTTGTTGGGAAGGAAGCTTGTTCCTGAAGCAAAGGGAAGGGAGGCATATAACACAGCAGAAGGAGCTAAACGAATGGAAGGGCAAAGGCAGAGTAAGGTCTGCAGGCCCAGTAGGTATCTCAGCTCAAAATAAAAAATGGTATCATTATGGGAATTTATGCTTGGTTGGAGGAGGACTCAGGGACCAGGAGAACAAATGTTCCTTTCTCATCTTCAACACAGCAAGAGACAGCAAAAGCATCGAGTTGTAGGCCAATTCACAAAACTCATTCTCATGAGGGGTTTTCACTAATTCATTCATTTAACAAATTGTTGAGCATGTATATACATATGCCAGGCACTGTTCTAGGTGCTTGGAATATTTCTGCGAACAAAACAGAAGAGTTCTGCCTTCAAGAAACTGGCATTTTATTGGTAGAAGACAAATAGGCAACAACAAAACCCTTCAAACAATTAAACTACGTAGTATGTTAAAATATAATAAATGCTAACAACAAAAAAAGTAAACCAGGGTAAAAAGTATCAGAAATATGTGTGTGGAAGGTGGGTGGGGCAGCTGCAGACTACAATTTTAGGTAGGACGCTCAGAAAAGGACTCACTGAGTTGGTGACATTTTAACAAAGACATAAGGCAGAGGGGTTAGCCATGAATATATGCAGGGAAAACCTGTACTGGGCAAAGACACCAAGTGCAAAGGCCCCAAATCAGTGTGTGCCTGGTATGTTCAAGCAACAGTAAAGAGGCCAGAAAGGACAGTATTACATGAGAAGAGTCAGGTGACAAGAGTTTGGGGAATAGGGAGGGGGAAGCTAGGGATATACCGAAGAATCTGGTAGGCCTTTGTGCAAACTTTCTACCTTTGCACAACAATGTGGTCATAGGGATCTTTTAGAACTTATCTGCTTTCCCTCCTGCCCCCAGTAATTTCTACAAATCTTTCTAGATTCAAATGCGAGTTTACCTCTGTAAAACTCTATACTCTTCCTCTTCTCATCTAAAGCACAATGATTTATATACTAGATAGGCAATCACAGTAACTGATGGGGCCAATGGCAACAATGATGATGATAACACATCTAACACAAACATCTAACTCACACTATGGACTTGCTGTAGGCTAGCATGATCATGGTGTCTGCATTGTCTCATTTACTCTCACCAGCCCAACTGTATCGACTTAAATCCTGGCTGACTACTTAGATGGCTTCACAGGGAATACAAACCTCTATCATCTTGTTTACTCAAAAGTTTGGGAATAAAAAATAAATCTGAAGAGACTCTACCTAAACAAATGTTCATATATAGAGAAGATGGATGCACACAATGAAGATACATTTACTCTTCTGTATAGAATTGATATTTGTGTATATGACTATAGGCATTAAATAGACTCACTATTTATAATACATAGGTACATTTCATTCAGCAAATGCATTTTTGAAAGCATGAATAATAAAGGATATTATGAAACACTCAAAAATAATTAGTAATGCACTGAATCTATAAGTGTTTTTACATATTCTCCTCATCTACGTGGCAGCTGCCATTAATTCTGAAAGTGAAAAGGGGTGATTTCTTTATTCCAGAAATATTTTGAATGGAGAGAGAAGATTCATTCACTTTGAATCAAAAGGAACCACTTCATACTTTTGGTCAAAGATTCTGATAGGCAAGTGGGTACTACAAAGTAAAAAGTGTGGGAAACATACAAATATGGTTCTTTACAAAAGAAATTAGATACTTTAGCAGAACATCACAGGAATTAACATGAAACACAGTGGGTACTTGTTCCAACAATTTAAAGTCCTGAAGAAAGGGCTATTTTATCAAATATTTTCAGTATTTTTAAGTGACAAGCAGATCTAAATTGTATTACAATTCACAAAGTTATATATACATGGTTGATAAAAGTTACTTTTAATATATTAAAATAATGCCATTTACAAAGAGATACTTTGTTATTGGAATGATGATTCTTAAAAGTCTCAACATTTTAGTAAGCTGTGAGAAACAGTTCTTGGGGTTACAAATTTATAGTTTTCTTCATTATTATTTAAAATAGCCTATAACTTAAAAAAATGCTTTATTTAGATAAAATACTTCTATGTTAATTCAAAACAGATCTACTGAACCACTTCCGATGACATCAACATTGGGCACTGCTGAAACCACATTAGGGTGAAATGATACATTAGAAACTGTGTGTGTACACACTGCGAGAAATGCAAGGTCAGCTACATCCTTTCCAACTTACTAGAGAACTCTTTTAAGCAAGAGTTTACTATTTTTGTATTATTTGTTATTTTCAAAATTATCAATAAGAGCTCTGATTCAAGGCATCCAAAGGCTGATTATATAAATTGTCACTGACTTTAGAATATTTTTCTAGCTACCAGTACATAGAGTGAAAGTCACCTTATCTATATTTACCATTCCCAAATATAATGCTATGTCCACTTCATTTGCAAATTGGTAGAAACTTTTAAATGAATACATAAAAGTGCTGAGGTGAAATGCAAGTGTTAAATTTTGCCAAGTGGTTGACATAGTTACCTAAGAATTTAGTACCTGTTGATGTAAAATCTCTTGTTTTTATGTCCACATGATTTCTATACTTCATTAAAAGGTTACTGCAAAAAATTTTCTGTTCCCTACAGTAATAAATCATATATCTAGGCATTTAGAATGTATTTTTTTGTTGAACATGGATTTATTTACAAATAAATCATAATAAAACAGTAAATACTATTCAGAATTATGTAATAGTAAGAATTTCCTTTATAATTTTATCTAAAAGTAGTATTTCTAATCCTAAAAATTTATCCTTAAAGCTATGTATGCAATCTATGAAATCAAATTACATAATTCTTATGTCTTTAAATAACTAATTTTCAATTAACTGTCACCTTATGTATGTAAGAACTAAAAATGATTATTTAGATTTCCATTTTGCTCAAACAATGCCCAGATAATCTTAAATTTATATTCATTACAAAAACCATCATATTTAATTGTCCTATACTCAAACAGTGATTATATAAGATGAAATCCATTGACTCACTTGTATTGGAATAAATTCGAAGGCTTTCCAGAATTGCCTTTTATAAAATGAAATTATAAGTTCCTTGATCAGGACCTTGGCTTCTGTAAACACTGCTGTGACTTTAGCCATTAGAATAGTGCACACATTAGGAGC